GAGTACAGTATCAAACAACAGTTGGGTCTAGGGGATAATTGGCCGTTTTTGACTACTTTTCATTTTACCTTTAAATTTCACCTTAAAAAACTGTTTACCTTGCCTTGTTTGGTATCATTCTTTTCAGCACAACCTCACCTGTGTGACTTTACAGTTATTTTTTTCATTTTGACATACTGTATTAACACACTGGACCTAAAATCACATAAAAAACATAAAATCCGAGTAGGAAAAAGTTAGATTTTTTACTGTGAAAACCACAAACATGTCTAAGGAACCATTTTTGTAACTTCGAATAGAAATATAAATTGTAAACTTCAAAAACATATGTCCTAATTTAGCAAACAACAATGGTTATATATAACTATTTACATTAAAATCCAAGCAATGCCTCATGCGTTTTTTGAACAACTATTTACAAAACAATCAGTGCTATGCAATGCCACACAAATTATTTGTGCCACTCTGAAAAACAGTTCCTGTCGACCACAACACACAACAGGAAGACAACAGGAGGAGTGTCACTCCTCCTGTTGTCCACCTGGAGCAGCGGAGATCCGGACCTGGTGGGCATGCCCTGCCACACCGTCCGTTCCTCTGTGCGGACCTCCGAGTACCGCTCAGTGCGGTCGTCGGAGGCTCATTTTCCTCTCTCCTCTTCCAAAACACACTACACCACACACGAACTATACACTCCAAACACGCTAAATGTCACAAATCCCAACTCTATCTATGATCGCGATCGCTGTCTCTCTCGCTGCCATCACTCCCACAACTTTCCCCTCTTTCCCAGCAACAAATGATGTGTGTTGCCATACAATTTTGTGATTGGTTGACATGATGCATTTTTCAACCAATAGGAAAGGGGGTGTCATTTTTGGGTTTTTTGCTGTTGTTGCCTTCAGCACTTTCGTCAGGCCGAACGGCCCGTTTTTACCGTTTCTTCCTGCACCAAACGCGGATCAAACGTGACAACAATATTCAGGAAAATCATGGCGTTTATTATTTATCATAAGTCCGGTTTTATATGGCCTATCAAAACGATTTAAAAAGTGGTACAAAGTTTGAAGTTTGCACTTTCCACACAAAATTAAACGGGCACTCAGCAAGGCCGTGTGTTGCTGCTACGTCATCTCAAATCGGTCACATGATTTTGACGCACCGGCGCGGCTGTGGACTGTAGAGGGTTAAATAAAACGTTTACAAAAGTGCCTAGTTTATAAGGTATATGCTCTTATCACCAGCTTGCATACTGTAATAATTGAGTGCACTCATTTCTGTAGATTCTGCATTTATTTAAAAACACAGCCTACAGTACTTTGAAAAGCATAATATTAACCACACAGAAATATAGTTGCAATCTGACTTCTTAACAAATTTGAAAATGACTGTTAACATAGTTTGTAAAATATTCACAAAAATGCAACTTGCATAATAATTTGGTACGCAGTGTATGTAGGGGGCACAAGCTACGTGAGTCGAGCAGACACAAAATTTAATTTGAGTGAGGAAGGGGAATGAAGTTTGCTGAGAAAAGGGTGGGTAATGAGCGAGTTACCTTCACACTGAGATATGTGACACCAGAGCGGCATACCCAGAAAGGCAAATCGGTAGGAGCCAAAATCCTCTAGAATTGACAATATAGTGGGTAAAGAGGCAACAGGATTTTTGATATAGAGTAATAAATCGTCAGCATACAAGGATAGCCTATGTTCCCACCCTCTTGTGTCACACCTTCAAAGGAGGTAGAGGACCGTAGAGCTGCAGAAAGAGGCTCAATCGCCAGCTTAAACAGGAGAGGGGATGGGGGCAGCCCTGACGTGTACCGCGTTCAAGGGCAAAATAACTTAAGCGGGTGTCATTAGTGCAGATGGAAGCTTTGGTAGATGTGTACAAAAGGCGAATCCAAGAGCAAAACTTGTTATCAAAGCCAAATTTCTTAAGGACGGAAAATAGATGCTCCCATTCGATGTGATCAAACGCCTTTTTGGCATTGAGCGTGATAACTACTTCAGGGCAGGCAGAGAATTATGAGTGAATTATGTTAAAGAATGAATGTATGTTAAAGAATGAATATCGTCCCTTTATAAAAAACAGTTTGTTCCTCTGATATGACTTCTGGTAGGACTGTCTTCAGTCACCCTGCAAGGAACTTAGCCAGTATCTTTATATCTACATTAAGGAGGCTTAGTGGCCTGTAAGAACTACACAGAGTTGCATCCTTTCTCTTTTGAGGAGTAAAGCTATAGATGCCTGTGTCAAAGTGGGTGGAAGTAAGGCCTTGTCAAGGGATTCATTGTACATAAATAAAAGCAAAGGGGCCAATTTGGCATGGAATTTTTTAAAAAAAAACCTCAGAAGCAAATCCATCGGGGCCTTGGGCCTTACTGCTCTGCATTGACCTAATAGCTTGAACAACCTCTTCCGGGGTTAAAGGGGAATCAAGGCCATCTGCAACCTCAGGCGCGACTGAGGGAGTCACTAATTCATCAAAAACTGGATCATGTTTACAGTGTTTGATGGAAACTCACCTATAAAGAGAGAAAGAATTTTTTTAAATGTATCATTAATACCACAGGGGTCAGACATCAAATTATTAGAGGAGTCAAGAATTTGTGGAATTAATTGGGAGGCAGCACAGCATTTTATTATGCGAGCCAGCAGCTGACCTGCCCTATCACCATCATAGTGTGTGCCATGTAAACTCAGAAGCAAACGCTCCACAGTGAACAAGAGTTTAATTCAGATTGGAGGTTCAGGCGCTTTATATAGTATTGGAGATGGACTAATAGCATACTAATTCAAGTATAGCGTTAGAAAGTTCATCCAGTTAAGCCTTATGGGTCTTGTTAAGATATGATGACTCACAAATAATGTGCTCTCTGAGATAGGCCTTAAGTGCCTCCCATAGGAGGGAGTAGGAGGTGGAGCTTGTTTGATTGAAAGCGAGAAAATAGTCAATGGAGGCAGAGATTTCGTCACTAAATTTTCCATCAGACAGCTAAAGAGAATTGAATAGAATTGACCAGTATGGAGGTGTACGAGGTTGTGTAGATAGGACTATATTTAGAGCCAAGGGTCCGTGATTAGAAATAATTGGTAAATATTCAGATGAGGCAACCTTAGGCAGTAACATGATCAACGAAAGGAATGATGTATATGTGAGAAAAATTAATACTCATGAGACTGGGGATTTAGATATCTCCCAAGGGTCAGCACAACCATTCAGAGACATGAAATCTGAAAAACACTTTGCCATGGCAGATGGAGACATCATATTGGAAGTAGAGCAGTCTAAAGATGGGTCAATGACACAATTTAAGTCCCCACCAAATATCAAATCGTGGGGGCTGAGACAGGGAATCTTACTTAAAAAGTGTTGGCAAATGCAGTATTATCAGAATTGGGTGAGCAGACATTCACTAGTATAACAGGAGTGTGCCAAAGAGTACCATTAATAATTAAATATCTCCCAGTTTGTCAGAAATAACATTAGAGGTGGAGAAGTGTATTGTCTTACCAATTAAAATTGCAACGCCTCTGGCTTTGGAAAACCAGGCCAAAATATTGATTCTGCAGCCTGTGGTTGTCTTTAATAAGCAAGCTGGTCTCTTGTAAGAAAACCACATTTGTTTTTAACTTTTTCAGATCAGCAAATATTTTTGTTCTTTTGACAGGGCTGTTCATGGCTTTCACATTCCAAGATAAAAACTCTGTGGAATTAGGTCTATCCGGGCTCAGATCTCTATCAGCCATCTAAACTGTGTAAACTGCAATGTGGGGCCCAAGCAATTGCTAAGTGTGAAAAGAGAGAGAGAGAGAAGTGGAGGAGAGAAAAAAAGGGGGAGGAAGAAAAGAAACGAAAAAAGAGATACAAAAACCCACCCAACAAACGGTGAACAACATCAACAACCACTCCCATAACCAGGTCTCCATCCCCAAATGATGGAGACAGCAGGTCAGACAGTCTTGCAGCTTTGGTGCACTGAGGCACATATTTCCTAAGTGCTATACTCTACCACAGCACCAATAACCCTGCAGTTCAATTATATGAATAGAAAAAACAAGCAAACATGTGATGAGAGGGCAGCTCACATTGTAGAAAACTATCAAAAATCGTTTCAAACATGATACGGAGGAACCCTAGAAATAAGTACGCCTAGTAAAGGATAGGCAGTGCATTTGAGGCTGGTGTCACATCTGAAGAAGAGCTACAAGTTGAGAATGAACAGAGAAAATAACACCAACCTAGAATAGCAGCATACACGAGAGTCAGTGAAAATATAAACAGTCCCCTACGGTCATGTGCTGATTGACGTTATGTCTCGGGAGCCCCAAAGTCACGCTTTGCGTAGTCCACAGCCACCTTCCGGTCTGTTTAGTGTTGTGTCGGCTGTGGAGGATGATGAGCCTCGCCGGGTAGAGCAGACTGTACCTGACGCCTGGCTTGTTACGCTAGATCTCCCTGGCCAGAGTGAACTGTCTTCAGCATCTTACCACTGTTGGTGAGTAGTCGGGAGAGAGATGGATTCGCTTACCCTGGTATTTTAGGTTCTTCACATCAATTGCTTTTCATAGGATATCCTCCATGACGTAATAGTAGTGGAGCCTCAGGATCAGCGAACGAGTAGGCTCCCCTTCGGCAGGACCTTGTAGAAGCTAACGCTGACAACAGCCGATTAGCGGTTTCTGTTTAAGGGGTAGTACATCTGTGAGAAGTTGAGCAGCAAACTCCCGGGGTCGCAGGCCCTCTTTTCCTTCTGGGATTCCTATTATGTGTATGTTATTCCTGCACAATTGCCGGTTTCACCATCGTCAGTCACTCAGGGAGTGTTATGATTGTTAAGTTGTGAGCTGGACAGATTTTAACTTGTTTGAGGATGTTTTTGAAACAAAACTGTTCAGCTAATGGGAAGTGCGACTACTCCCTCATTGTGTCAATCTGGAAGTCCCTCTTTATAGTGTGTTTTATTGTGTGTACTGTTTGCGTGTGTTTATAGAAAGTGAACGGCTCTCCTTTCATGACCAACGATGCAGGCTTTGCCTTGGCCTATGCTGTCATCATGCTGAACACTGACCAGCACAACCACAATGTCCGCAAGCAGAATATCCCCATGACTATAGAGGTAAGTGAGCTCTCTTGCACACACACACACACACACACACACACACACACACACACACACACACACACAGTTTTCTGTGGAAGTCCTCACTACTGAACAAATAGTCCCTAGATCTGTGACTTTGCTTCTTGGGATCGGTGCTTAGTATTTTGTATGTCATGTTTTGTGCTTTAAGTAGCGTGAATGAAATGACGTTCTCCTCTGTTGTATTTTGTTGAGGCCCAACTAACAGAGGTGCTTCTCATTAAGCCTTGGTAAAAAAAAAAAAAAAAAAAAAAGCCTGAACTGTCTGCTTGTCTCAGTCCCCATAGGGAGAAGTTGGGAAAGGTTTGTTTGTGTGATTGGGTAATTTACCTTTTCATTTTTCCATTTCTGTGTGCCTCTGTACTGCACAAACCAAGATGAAGGCACAGAGATGTTAGAGTCTGGTGGTAGTTAAAGACTAGTGAAAAATCCCTACTAACATGCTCAAGGCCTTTGCACATCAAGTTAATATTTTGGCCAAAATTGTTGCGGCTTTAAAAATAAATATGACCTCATATTGTGCCAATCACCCTTACACACTGACCCTGAAACTTTGGTCTGTCATTAAAGTTTCGGAACAGGTTTGATTTTTTTTGCATTTGGATTCTTTTTGCATTTGGCAAAAGCCTTTAGAGAGCTGGTTGACCAAGAAGCAGTGAGGATGATGTAGTGACAAACATCCATGACAAAAGAGAGGAATGGGACGACAGTATCATTTCATTACTCAGATAGCCTACATTCACCAGGTCAGATAGTAATATTTAGGTGGATGACGATGATGAGGAAGAAACTTTTATAGAGGATGAGGAGTGACAAGAGAGACAGACAGACAAGCAGTGTGGAGACCAAGAGGGAGGACAGCTCAGCCCCTCCAGGTAAATGTGTTGCCAAATGCAAGACACGTGTGGAAAGAGGTGACAGCTAGGCAGGCACCTCCAGTGGAGAGAAGCAAATGAAAGGGAAAAAGCGAGAGGCAGAGTGACAGCATTTTTTCTCATTTTGTGAATTTTTGCAACAAATAGAGCAATAAAAACCATCAGACTTAGTGTGCAAGGTTTCTGTACGTAATGATTTTATTGGCTGATTAAAAAAACGCATACAACAAATGCGGACTTGATGTGCAAAAGCCTTATGCCGGGTTCAGACTGCATGATATTTTTGTCCATTCAGTGACAGTCACTGTGTCAGATTAGGTGATTGTTTTTGTTGTTTTTTTAAAGATATTTTTTAGGGCACTTTTTGCCTTTAATCGACAGGACAGTGAAGTGTGAAGGGGAGAGAGAGAGAGAGGGAGAGACATGCAGCAAAAGGCCACAGGCTGGACTCGAACCCGGGCCGCTGCGGCAACAGCCTTGTACATGGGGCGCCTGCTCTACCACTAAGCCACCAACACCCCAGATTAGGCGATTGTTGAGTCATAAAAATTTTTCGTGACTTGGCCGACAGACATGACAAACTACACATTGGTCAACAACCAATCATACCTGGTTGTCTTCCACAACGTGTGTGATGTCATCAGATTGTTCTTGTCCTGTTTTTATTATTATTATTATTATTTTTCTTTCTGTCACTATGGTTGTTCATGTCCAAGCTGAACTGTTAATGTAGTAACGTAAAAAGTGCCACCAGATGGCAGGAGCTACATTTGAAGCATCACATGCAAACTATGCAAGTCACTGAATTCTCCACAAGTTCCTGCAAATGTTTCACAATAAAAGCCTTTTTAGAAACAGGAGGTGTTGAGTTTTAAATTATGTTATGCATTAACTTAAATGGGGCAAACAGGAGTAGATTAAAAATAAAAATAGAAAAATACAGAAGGAATGGGAAATAAAGGCCCGTTTCTAATGCTGTCAAATTAAGCTGATACCCTCTGCAGGTGTGGTCAGTAAAAACCCGCCACTATTTGTGAATTTTATTCCTTCAAATAATTCTCCATTATGAAACAATAACATGCTGAAGTGCCTCTCCTCTTTCATGCCAGCATTTTTCCTTTTTACTCTATCGTGGTAACATCCCTAAAGGAAAAAGGAAAAAAGGCTGGGGTGTCGATGCTGTACAGTAGTCCACAGCAGCAGAACGCACTGTGTTACTATTGGTTAAAGTGACGGCTGTGATGGGAGAAGTCATGAAAGACAAAAGAAAATCAAACATGCTAGACGTTCTGTCAGGACATCGTGAGGCATCTCAGATGTGGTGTCGGTTGTCATTTACTTTGACACACTATACTGGATAAAACAATGGATTATCGTGCACGACACCCATTGCCATTCACGATCTGAGCCAGCGCTGCATGACAGCCACTTCAGGCTATAACTGGGCTAATAATGTGTAGTCTGAACCAGGGATTATTTTCAATATTCTGTTATGTAATGAGAAATATAGTGTGAGCTTCGAGAAATAAGCAGCCATCAACCAGGAATACCTGTGCTGTGAGATAGAGGCCAGGCAAGAGTCAGAATGAATTTGCCTCTCCCATCTGACGTAGCTCTGTCAAGCAGGACATTTTGTTCCTGTCAAAGCTGCATCAGAATAAAAACTTGAATGACACTAAGTTACACAACATGGTAAAAAGAATCAGGGTTACCACAGTCATGGATAACCTCGAAAAGACATTGAATTTCAAAATCACATTTTTCAGGTCTGGAAAAGTCATGGAATTAGTCATAACTATCAAAAGTTTTGGAAAAGTCAAGGAATTTTGTTGTATTTGTTACTATAATCTTCCACACAATGTAAGATAACAGCAAATTCATTTTCTGTAGCTGTTAACATAGTGTAGCTCTAATATGTGTTGATGTGTGAAGTTTAGTTTACCATTGTGTAGGTTTCTTTATTTTCTCCCAGCTGAAATTATGTTTGAAAAGAGTTTGAATCTAAAATGTTTGACAAATACTGGGGCAAGCGGGGCAAGAAAAAAACATGGAATCAAATTATGGATCCTTGAAAAGTCATGGAAAAGTTTGGAAATTGTGTCCATGAAAATGTGTGGGAACCCTGAAGAATGTACTTTGTGTTTAACAAATGTTAGTTTGCAGATTTCATTCAGGCAAGGAAAAAAGCTGTGTTTCTATTACTCACTGGGACATGTCACTGTATTGATGAGTGGACATTCCAATGTGGTGGCTAGCATTTGCACTGGTGCAACTTGGTGGCTCAAAAAGCCCACAGCTGTAGGCAGCGGGGGTCCGCCTAAGAGGTGAACACATCCTAACAGACTCTCTTCATCTGCCAGCTCTGTCTCTGTTTTTCCTGTCTTTGATTGACAGTGGCTGAAGACTAAACAGTCTCCAGGGCAGCTTGTGAACAGTTTGTGGGTGGGCCACTCTCACTGACAAACAATAGCAAGCACTTGCTTGCTTTTTCCCTCTGTCTTACTCTCTTTAATGTACACATCCTCTGTAGAAATAATCTTATCTTTCTAGAGTCAAGTCATACCTCATTATACAGCTGGTGTTGTATGTTGTTTAAGTTATCTTGACACATTCCCAAAACATCAGTTGCGGTTTGGTGAAAAAGGCCTGTTGACCTCCAGGTGCAGACAGCAGGCAGAGGCTCCCACACAATAGTTTGGAGTGGGCCAAGTGCCGCCTAGCACTTCACTTACTGAGGAGCTTGCAATGTGTAGTATTCACCACAGCATGTGTTGGCAGTGGGGTTATTTATGAAATGGAAAAACTATGCTCAGCATCACTGTGTGTAAATCAGATCCTATTCCCAAGGATCTGTCAATGAGACAACATGTGTTCAGTGAGGTACAGATAAGGTCAGTTGTATAAACTTAATTTTGTCATTAAAAACAGCATCCTGCTTATTTTTTGGCTGCCTATCTTTACTAGCAGTTGCTGCAAGAGCTGCTCTGATAGTGAGTGACTGTGTATGTGTTCGTGCATGTGTGGTGCACACGTCCCTGATATGGATGTGGCAGATAGATATAGATAAATAAGGTAGCCTCTTGCTTTCTCTGGCTTTCTGTGTCTCACTCTGTGTCGGTGTTTATTTCTCAGTGTGTCCCTGCAGAGCAGCTTCTGTTTCCTCTCTTCTTACCTGCCAGAAGGACATAGCCTGTAGAGTCAAGGCATAAAACTAAACCTTGAGGTCGTCAGTCATCGCAGGGTGGTTATGTTTATTTACAGGAGGCTCTTGGCTCTAATCCCTGTTTTCCTAACGCTGCAACTAAACCATATTATGTAACACATAGTGAGTGTGTTTCCACAAAAAAGTTCTTTTAATCATTGGTTGCTGGATGCTCAGTTGATGAAGCACAGAATGCCAGAGGCTTGGGTGTCTGAGCTAAGCTCCTTTGTTGAGATGTATTGACTGACACATTGATGGTGGAGAAATGACTTTCTACTTTTCTCCCAGAAGCATGTAAGGTGTTTTTATAAAGTTTTTTCCAGAGAAAAAGCCTGAATATTCCACAGCTAACTGCACTGTTTGATTCATTAAACAGCAATTCAAGAAAAATCTGAAAGGAGTGAATGGAAACAAAGACTTTGACCAGGACATGTTGGAGGATATCTACAACGCTATAAAGTAAGCTGCCATATCTATCTATCTATCTATCTATCTATCCATCCATCCATCCATCCATCCATCCATCCATCCCAGGGCCGGGCAATACGGACAAAAATTCATATCTTATTCATATCTTAGTATAATTAAGCAATATCATATCTTAGCATAATTAAGCAATATCACACGAGAGGGAGTGATGTTGTACTGTATATTGTCACGGCTGTGATTCGGTCGTAGGCTATTTTACTTTTTTTTTTTTTTCATTTTACATTGTATAAATTAGCTTGGCGAATAGCGGAGATTTCCTCTGCTCACATAAAGCCAGGATACATCACATGCAAGACTTAAAATGCTGTATTGTGTGGAGGCTTTATTATCTTCACAATTTATTGTTTTTTATCTGTGAAATTAAAGTAAATAAAAGCTTACAAAGTAAAGTAAATAAAAGCTTACAAAAATAGACAGGAGGTCTGTGTCGCTGCGACATGTAATTACATTTCTGGGGAGGTGCACGTCAGGGTACAGCTCTAAAAAGTGTTGCTGGAGAACTTGTGAGTGAATGAGTGAGGCGGAGCTGTGCAGGGAGTCTGAGAGAGGAGAGATGCACACTGACATGGGTCATGTAATGCAGTTTGACCCTATATCGATATAAACAGTGTTATCTAAATGTATATCTTGCTTGAAAATATATCAATATGTTGTACATAGTTGTTATATTCATCCATCCACCTGTCTATCTGAGTGAGTTGGTGTTCTAGCTGAGTTGTTTTTTTCCTCCTCTTTAGGAATGAAGAGATTGTGATGCCAGATGAGCAGACAGGGTTAGTGAAGGAGAACTATGTATGGAGTGTGTTGCTACACCGTGGCGCCACACCTGAGGGCATTTTCCTCCACCTGCCACCCGGCAGCTACGACCATGACTTGTTCACCATGACCTGGGGTCCAACCATTGCTGCGCTCTCCTACGTCTTTGACAAGAGCCTGGATGACAACATCATTCAGAAAGCCATCACTGGCTTCAGGTATACTACTTCAAAATAGTCAGCGGCTAAAGTGGTGGAACACGAGATTCTTTGAATAAGGATTTAAAAGTTTGGCTCCTGCGGGGTGTGTGTGTGTGTGTGTGTGTGTGTGTGTGTGTGTATGAGTGAGTGAGAGAGAGAGAATGGGCAAATGAGAGGCCAGTTGAAGAACTGAACTTTATTTGTTAAGAAAGAAAACCACATATTGCAATATACTGGTGTAGACGATAACCATGGTATTTATAAATGAAATATTAATATGAAGTTAATAATGCACATGGTCACATTGTACAAATAATCCAGTGCCTTTTAATCATTTCTGTTTGTTTCTGGTCTCCAGTCTTATTGACCCATAATCAACAGTAGATCGGACCTTTTATTTATTTCAGGTGTATAATCGTATGTTTTTCTGTCCTTGCAGGAAATGTGCAATGATAGCAGCTCACTATGGCTTCAGTGATGTTTTCGACAATTTGATCATCTCCCTCTGCAAGTTCACCACTCTAAGCAGTGAGGTGAGGCACTTTCAGAAAAAGCAGTCCACAACATCCTGTGTGCTGATGTGGTCCACTTTTACTAATTAGGGGTGGGCAGATAGACAGCAAAATATCGATACTCTTGATACTACGTTCTCATTGTTAGGATCAGTCCTAGGGGCTGATGCAGCCCCTTGGTTGTACTATGAATAGTACGCGTTTGCGCGTTCCTGTGATCATAGCTCTCCGCAGATATTTACCGTGGAAAGTATGTCTAAGCCTGACTAGTTAAATCGTACACATACTGGTAATGATTGCTTCATGAAAGAGGAAAAAAACAGGAGAAAGAGAACTTGGAGCTGCAACAGAAAGGAAGGAAGGAGGAGGAAAACAACTCAGCATCCAGACCTCTGACACAGAGACAGAGTTAACTGGCAGGGTCTGTTCATAGAGGCTCAGACAAGGAATATTCAGGTATATAGTGGCCTAGTGAAATTTATATTTTAGTCAAATCAGATCTTCAGCATTGGTTAATGTTACATGTCACAACTGTAATTGGTCATCACTGTTACTTAACCAGAGAGATTTTTCACCCCATAAGCCATCACACACTGGTTTTGGTATCGGTTCAGTTCAATTCAGTTTTATTCATTAAGCCCAATATCACAAATCACAATTTGCCTCAGAGGGCTTTACAGCATACGTCATCCCTCTGTCCTTGGACCCTCACAGCACGTGAGGAAAAACTCCCCCCCAAAAAAGGAAAAAAAGGTAGAAACCTCAGGAAGAGCAACTGAGGAGGGATTTTTCATTGGTCATTTTATACATCACACCTGGAACAAGCTGTGATACATCAAGTACATTTGATATATCGCCCACCCCTACTTTTAGCTGTAGAAGGAAAGTGCCACTGTCAAAATGCCAGTTTACAGTGCATGACAGATGCAGCTTTATATTGGCAGCAAAGGCTATTTGTTTGAGATAAGATGTGTGATGATAATAAGTAGGCGCCACATTGGGACAATAGAGACAATCTATTTTTTTAACACCTACTGAAAATTAGTGAAAGTAATCATGTGATGTACTGTATGTAAACGAAATTCTCTCCTATTACTAGAGCCCATATCATATCAGTTAAAATGTGTAGATACAGTGTCTGTGTTAGAATGCCTGTTTACTGAGTGCCAGCGTGTCCTCTCCCCATGCAGTCTGTGGAAAACCTTCCTACAGTGTTTGGCAGCAATAATAAGGCACAGACAGCAGCCAAGACAGTGTTTGACCTAGCCCATCGGCACGGCAACATCCTGAGGGAGGGCTGGAAGAACATCATGGACTCCATGCTACAGCTGTTCAGAGCCGAGCTCCTGCCCAAAGCCATGGTTGAGGTCAGGACTCTTAAACTCTAAACACAACTTGATAACACTGCAGAGACAGTCTGTGGGTTGTAGTTCCTGTTTGGTTAAAAAAAGACCACATCTTACATGTTCTGCTGCCATCTACTGTGCAGTGCTCAAACATTATGCTTGTTCCCTCAGGTGGAGGATTTTGTGGAGCCAAATGGAAAAATTTCTCTTCAAAGAGAGGAAACGCCTTCAAATCGGTATGCACAAATCTCATTTGCCATCTCTTGACATACTTATCATAGGGGCTAACAAGAAAAATGTTGTCAAGGTATCACAGTATAATATTTTTCCAGATATAGCTACAGTCATGTATGTTTGTGTCAGCACTCCTGCCATGTTCCTCCCTATTTGTTACATTAAGTACTTCATTATCCCTAGAAGAAGAGACAGGCTTTCCACAATAAGGAAAAGTGTATTTCTTAGGAGGATCCTGAGAGCAACCCAGAATAAAACTGAAATGTCTTCCTTGTTGCATGTCAGCGGTGAGTCGGCAGTGTTGAGTTTTGTCAACTGGTTGACGTTGAGTGGAGCAGAGCAGTCAGGACTCAGAGGACCATCCACAGAAAACCAGGAGGCCAAGCAGGCTGCCATCCTTTGCATAAAGGTACTGCTCAGTTAGACTGAGTAAACGTTTAAAGGGACACTTTGCTGATTTGCAACCAGCTTTGTATCATAACAATGTGGCAGTATGTGTAACAAACTGTGGTAAATTTTCCTCCATCATTTCTTAGCTCTGATCCACCTAATGATGTCAGCGCATTTTCACTGGCTCTAAGGCTGTTGCTTGAACCACAAATTGTACTTCTGCATTTTCATATGCCAGCCATCACAGACACAAAGAGTGTAAAAGTGGACTGAGAGGGAAACCCGCACCTCTCTCTCTCCATCTCTCCGTCTCTCAAACTCAGATCGAACAGTACAACTAAGCAGCGCTGATCAAGTATGATAAGATTCTGTTACTGTGTTGCATATTTCTTGCCTAAAAGATCTTCAGAAACACATACTAGCTTACTATTTAAACTGTCATTTTAGATATTTTTTTCTACCAGCTGGCTACCATATTGTTTTTTGTAGAAAAACAGACAAGCTTGCATTATGTCCTCCACTAGCAGGAGCATTAAGGTCAGTGCAGTGCATTCTGATAGTTGTAGCTTTTCTACCTCTTGAACAAAAGCAATTGCTACAGTCTTGTGCTCCGTTTTCTCTGGTCAAGTAGTAACAATTTTAAAAGTCTTTGCATCTTTCTCCTGCAAAGACATCCCAGTTTTCTGAAAAGACCATCTTTCCATTAGTGAAATACTTCTTTGACACCAACTAATGTTATGATTTACAATACATATTTATGTTAGATAAGGGTGTTCACATCATTACATTTTTTAAACAAACCCATTTCAATTGAAAAACGATTTAAATGCCTTAGATAGTAGGTGTCATGTTTTCACTGTTATACAGTGTTTCTTGCTGCATGACCACTCTTTGATAAATGCAGAATAGTGTTTGTGAAACAGCCAGGTTCTTATCCGCTTTACTAAACACAGCTAGAAATAATTTTCTTTACTATTGATCTCTTGGTGTGTATTTATCAGTCTGTCCATGAATAAGTTGCAATGCTTCTGGCTAAAGCCCAAAATACCCTCAACTGATGACTGAAGAGACATCATTTACAACCTTTTTATAATAAAATGGGTTCTCCACAAGACAAATTTGTTCTTTTCAGGAAACTAACAGGTTACATTACCTTATATTCCTGCCTTTTCATTCATGCACATAAAAAAATGATTGTGAAGAGTTTTGTGTTTTTTAAATGACCGCATTATTAGCGCAATGTCATCACCCATTCAGAGCTTTCATTGTATAAAGTAAGTCAACATCACTGAGTTTTCTGTTTCTTTTTTTTTAGCAATGTGACCCAGAAAAGCTCATCACAGAGAGTAAATTCCTACAGCTAGAGTCTCTACAGGAGCTAATGAAGGTTAGTATTATTTCTTACCAACATTTTAACATATACATAGCTCATAATTGTCTTGCTGTGAATTGAATTAAACTGCCTGGGCAGAAGTATTTGTGGGGGTGCTTGTAGGCTAGTGTGGATGAATAAATCTACATTATATATATCCACAATGGCATTTACTTCATGGTACAGACATAAAGACAACAAAAACAAACCCGTTTCTCCTCTTTAGGCTCTGATATCAGTCACCCCAGATGAAGAGACCTATGATGAAGAGGATGCTGCCTTCTGCTTGGAGATGTTGCTGCGTATCTTTCTGGAGAACCGGTAGGAAGGAGAATCATACAATAATCTGTTCACAGCACAGTCACATGACTTGTCTTTTTTAACACAATGAACATCTCTTTGTCTGTTGGTGTGAGTAGAGACCGTGTGTCATGTGTGTGGCAGACAGTACGAGACCATCTCTGCCATCTTTGTGTCCACACCAATGAGAGCTGCTTCCTGGTGGAGAGGGCTGTTGTGGGACTCCTTCGACTTGCAATCCGGCTGCTACGACGGGAAGACATTAGCTCTCAGGTATACCAAACTAGGGCTGCACTGTATATGCGGTAGACGGTAGAAATGATATAAATTTGGCCCACGGTAGAGATTTGCGCTCTACCGTCCTATCGTCGATGACGTCATCGCACCTGCCTCAGTGTGAAAATGGCTGCGAGCACAGACACAGCGGAGCAAGAGGAGCTGGTTCACGTCCGTGATTTAGCGTAGCACGTGCAACATGTGTTGCTGGAGAACTTGTGAGTGAATGAGTTAATGTTTTATGAACAGCCCTGGACTTCTCAGACTCTTTTAGCGACTTACCACTCAGAGTGAACTCATTCAGCTTCTCCTCTGGCAGCAGCACAGCATCTCTCCCTCTCCTCTCTCGCCGTGCGCACATGGGAGTTGGTTTTCGGCAAGAGATTTTGTCATAAACCTTTGGTAATGTAAACCTATGTGACGCTAGGGGCTCCACAAAAAACTCCATATGTGAATGTGTGATAGTTGTGGTATCATTACAGCCTGATGATTAGAGGAGAAATGGCAGAGCATAAAGGTCCAGGTGGAAAAAACACAACTCAGTTATTTAGGATTTTGCTAAAAGGAGGAAATTACCTTTTGATATAGATCCCAGGGGACATTTTGCACCATAGAGTGCTGGGTTTTAATTTTGAGTTTTGAGATCTGCATTCTGCACAATAAATGCTCAAAAAATACATTATATCTTTGCTTTTGTTGTTGTTGTTGTTTTTTTTTTATCAATTTAGCTTTGCTAAGGGACTACAAAACCCATTCAGAAATACTTCTATTATAACTTTTACACTTAAATTTATACCGCGATATATACCGTTACCGTGAAGGGATTCGATTTATACCGTGATATGAATTTTAGGTCATACCGCCCAGCCCTACACCAAACACATACACACACCCTTAGGCTGTTAAAAAATTGTCAAAATGATGTTGATCCTGAATATTTCTTCTAAAAAAACCACAAATGTTGAACCATTTGAATATCTACTTGTGCATAAGATGACAAATTATTGTGAGCGACATAACTATGTGTACAGGTATTTTTATTTTAAACATAAACATGTGTTTAAAACAATCTACATACCTACACATTACAAAATAAACAAAGAAAATAATGTACCATACCCTAAAACATCATTTAAAGACTGCAGACCTCAGGCAACCGCAGGCTCACCTGATAGAGTGTAAGCACCATATAGGCTGAGTCTTTTGCAGCAGCTCAAGTTTGATTCTAACCTGTGACCCTTTACAACTCTCTCTCCCTAATGCTACCCTGTGGTTGGTGCTACAGTGAGAACTGGTCATTCAGAACATTAATATATCAGCAAACAACTATTTGCTATGTAAAGATATAGTAAAGTAATGGATCCATGCGCAGAGAATGAAGTCACACTCTCTCCCTGTGTTTGTTGTAGTCTTAGCTTCTCTAATCTTGTTGTTCTGCACTGCGCTTATACAGTGGTTACCACTGATGACGCTGTCCTGACCCGCGGTGTTGTTTTTATGCCTCCATTCTGGAGGCATAATGTTTTCATGTTATCCATCTGTCCCATTCTTGTGAATGTATGTGGATTATGGCAAATAATGTGACAGCAGCACCATCATAGATGAGAAAGCATATTGTGACAGTGATGAGTTTCTTTTTCTCATTCAGCCAACACTGCCCCGACTGCTCTTGTGTGTGTTACATTTTGCGGACACATCGCGTTTATTTTTGAGGACAGGCACGACCAGCGCTCCAAATAGCATTATAACATCATTATTATATTACGACTCTGTCATATCCAGTTAAAAGCTCCTTGTAGTTGCTTTAAGATTGGATTGAAGAAATTACAATGTACTTAAAAAATCCATTAAAAGAACAGATGGCCATACTTATCACCTACATACTATCACCATACTTATATCCCAACCCTGATCTTCTCTCTCCATGTGTCCCCACAGGTTCTCCACTCCCTGCGTCTCCTGCTGATGATGAAATCTCACGTCTTGTCCCGGGTCAGCAGAGAGGTGGCTTATGGTCTCCATGAGCTACTCAAGACTAATGCAGCCAACATTCACTGTACAAATGACTGGTACACACTCTTCTCCTTGCTGGAGTGCATTGGAGCCGGTGTGAAACCTCCTGCCTCCTTCCAGCTGGCCTCCACCACTACTGACCATGACACAGGTTCAGTATTTCTCTCCTTATCATGACATTGTGTCTGAAGGTGACAACAGCTGATGATTTTACACTGATGAGCACATATTAAACACAACCTTTACTCCACATGGTTTGACCCCTCCACAACAAGTGTTAAGTAAATACATTTTAAATCATATGGTCTTTAACAGGGTTGCTTATACAATTTTTTAATGTCTTAAAGTAATAATCTTGAAGAGTTTTCATTTAAATTGAGTCATACCCATGGCAGTAATATGGACTGGGTGTCCAGGGCAACATTCAAGGAAAAAATGCCGTATGAAGTTGCAGATAATGCAAAGTGAACACTTCCCTACTGTTGGAGCTTCACATTGAAAGCATTTAACTGGTGAAACATAAATTAACTTTTATTATGAAGTAGTCACAGAAATGCAATGTTTTTCAGTAAGCTTAGTGAATCATTAATGCATCTACGACACAAGAAAAAGTTTTTTTGACAGACAGATCAGTTTGAAATAATTCAGGGAGAAATGGAACAGTCAGTTGCAGCCACAGTGAGATGTTGGCTGAGGAGCTGAAGGAGACAGGCTGCACACCTCCAACTTAGTGTGGTGGCCAACTTTCACTGTACCTGACTGTGTGCAGATTCATGCTGTGTGCAGGGTAAACAGATCATGGTTTTTCATAGAATGATGGAAAAAGGCCAATTATTGATTGACTTAGCTGGGCTGCCGGGCTACTCACCTAACACAACCGAAACGCCTGACCCATTGCTGGGACCGAGCCGCTAATAACTCAAGCTCCGGACATTAACCCATGCTACGATTGTAACATTAAATTTAATTGAATCGACATAGCGACATGTGCCTAACGTTACTGTAACACTAACTAAAACAGACATTTGACTTTATGTTGTACCTGTCCAGGAGAAGAAGAGCTAGCTCCGAGTCAGATTGTAGCCCCTTTAGCTCTTGCAGTGCTCTCCACCTTGGAAATACAAGGCCAGTGTTAATCCGAGTTCTGTCCCTTTCTTTATCCGACAACTTCTTTGTCAACAACCGTTGTTTCTTTAGAGGTAATGTCAGATCCTGGTCGTCTTCAGGTGGAGGTTCCGCTCTCTGCCATTTCATTTCAAAAATACGCGCTGCCATTGCTCACCGGCTGTAGCCTTTTATAGGGAGGGAGGGCCAATGGCTCCGAGAGGAGGAGGAGGAGGAGAAGGGGGGGATTCACATGAACGTACATGAACGCGCAGCCGGACCGGCTTGTAAACAATGGGCTGGAGATCATCACAGAGAGAGGGTGTGTGAGGTCATGCTATACTCCAGATGAAATTACACCTCTAGTTCTTCACATAGCAATTTTTTAATTCCTTCAATCTAGAAATGATGAATTTTGCTTATTGCTCTTTTAAAGCCAACACATTAAAAACACAAAGGATTCACTGTTTCCCCACCAGAATTATATTTCTAGCACTACAGGAAAGATAGTAATGTCCACAAAAACATACAGTTGAACAGTTGAGTAGATAAAGTATAAAAATCCATGTCATTTCCAAGAGACTTTCCTTTTGGTGTCTGATGGAAGTCTGAGGTGGACATTGCTTTTTTTGGCTTGGCTTTAGCAACTTAATAAAAACTCCAAATCAGTGGTTATGGTGGTAATGCATTCTTGATATTGAAATGTGGCAATTCTTTTTTTCTTTTTTTTTTTAGATATTTTTTGGGGCATTTTTGCCTTTAATGGATAGAAAAGCTAAGCGTGAAAGGGGGAGAGAGAGGGCCACAGGCTGGAGTTGAACCTGGGCCGCTGCAGCAACAGCCTCGTACATGGGGCGCCTGCTCTATCCACTAAGCCACCAACGCCCCGAAATGTGGCAATTCTTACTTTCTAGTGTGTGGTCCTTACTGGTACCCCAAGTTTGGTAGGACCAGTTTGACTGGTTTGATTTTTTTTTGCACTCAGATATTTCCTTAGGACTGTTTGAGTTTACAATTAGGTGCAAGGCAGTTGAAAGCAACATACTACCATATGTATGCAAAAGGCTCATCCGTTCACTTTTATAATGGATTTAAAAAATACTCAGAAACTGTAAAACTAGCCGATTGTTACCTTATATCAAACAGTTAAGAAAATTGAAAAAATAATTGTCTGCTCTGTGTCTCCAGGTGCCCAGTCAGATAGTGAGCTGCCATCACATCATCTGAGTGAAGTGAGTTCAGAGCGTGGCTATACGTCTGACTCAGGAGTCTACACCGAGCACAGCAAGCCCAGGATTCTTCGCTCTGCAACAGATGTCGATGTAGCAAGCAGTGGATGGCTTGTGGTCAGCGTAAACACACACACACACACACACACACACACACACACACATACACGAGCAGCAACATTTACTGTATACTGTACATGCATAGTCAGTAAAATATCCTCAGTTACATGTGTTCAGCATCACGTTAACCTATTCAGTACCAGTGTTGTTGAATTTTGACTCCGTCTTGTCTCAATCTCAGACAAGGATGACTTGATTTTATTTTAAGACCAGTAAAGACCACAACTATGGGAATATCAGTAAATTGCCTGTGCAAAATTGCTTATGTTGATTTCAACTCCTTATTGTATTTGTTTGCTTATAGAAAGGAAATTATCGCACATAAAATTCACCTCTGCAATGCCTTTTGGTTCAATCAAATCAAGACATTTCTTATTGTACACTGATCTATACACACATATATACAATATGTGAATAAAGCGGTGGATGAAGAGGAATTTTATGACAGTGTTTTTTATGACAATGTGGTTTGCACATGTCACATTTTATTGTAGGTGTGTCATGCAGTGTGGGAGTTGAACTGGTTTTGGTCTTGTCTCATGGCCTTTGCACACTGTTGTGTTTTTTTTTTTTTTGTTTTTTTTCAGATGCATTTTTTAATCTGTCATCAGAAAAAAATCGTTAGGCACAGGAACCTTGCACACTGATTCTGATGTGTTTTATCATTCTCTTCGTCGCAAAAATTTGCAATATGTGACAAAATGAAAAGACACATTTCCTCCTTTGCTTCTCTCGACTGGAGTTACCTGTCTGGCTGTCACCGCTTCCATCTGTCTTGTACTGGGCACCGCAGCTGCATGAAGGTGCTGAGCTGTCCTCCCTCTCTATCTCCAAATTCTGTGGGCGGTCCACATCCTCCCCCTCTTCATCATCATCCACCTGAATATTACTATCTGACTTGTTGAATGTGAGCTATCTGAGTTATGAAATGATTCAGTCTGCCCCGTTCCTCTGTCTTGTCGCGGCTGTTTCCCGCAGCCTCATTTTCTTCACTGACTCTTGGTCAAACAGACGAAAGTTTCGGACTCAGTATGCAGGATTAACACAAGGTGCGATCATATTAATTTTTAGATGTGCTACAATTTCTGACCATAAAAATGCACTCAGTGTGCAAAGGCCTTCAGTCTCGATACATTCTGGTCTTGGTCATGACCGTGGGGCGGCTGTGGCTCAGGAGCTGGAGCAGTTTGTTCATTAATCGGAAAATCTGCGGTTCCTCCTGCAGCTTCTTCAGTTCGCATGTTGAACTGTGCTTGGGGAAGATAATAAGCCCCAAATTGCTCTTGCGGTGTGTGAGCAGGTGGCACCTTGTTATGGTAGCCTCAGCCCCCAGTGTATGAATGTGTGTCTGAATGTGGCATGTAGAGTAGAGTGCTTTGAGTGGTCAGAAGACTAGAGAGGCGCTGAATAAATGCAAATCCATTTACCATGACTTTCTTTTGGTTTGGGTGATCTTGGTGATCACTCTTATTTGTGTAATTTGATCAAATTCCAATGCATATTTGTATTTCAGTGATTTGTCAATTTTTTTTCCAGGTCGGGAAAGATGACCTGGAGACGAGTAAGAGTCCTCCAGTAAGCACTAAAGCTCAGCTGAATCACCCACTGGTCAATCAGTACAGTCTGACATTGGGTCAGGACCTAGGCCAGCACGACACCAAGTCTCTCATCAAGTGTGTGGAAACGCTCTCGTTCATTGTCCGGGATGCCGCCCACGTCACCCCAGACAACTTTGAGCTGTGTGTTAGAGCTATACGAGTGTTTGTGGAGGCCAGCCTCAATGGAGGTGAGACACTGAAATACATTTTAAATTCCATAGTAGTTATTTAAAAGACTACATTTACTAAGTACCTAAGAGACTAAGATAAAGCGAAAAGATGACATGAAACTACTCAAAGATAATGACATATAGCTGTGTAGCCACTAGGCTGGCAGCTCTGTGTTGACTGAGCAGTTGAATCAGCCTGTGAGCAAAAGTTTGATTGGCCCTCTACTGAATGCACAATTCTGCATACCTAATTAAAGGGCTACAGTGATTTATTATTGCATGTCTGTAAAGTTGGGGGATATGTGAGAGACAGAATGATAATGATATCAGTCCAAATCAGTTGGCAGAGTCAGAGACTCCATGTCCCCAGTTTGTAATACAGGCTTTTTATTAAAATTTCCTAGTTGTCAAGCACAAGCTGAGACCAATAACCGTGATGGCATCACCTCTCAGTTACAGAGGTTGACACTGCAGAGTTGAGACCCTCTGTGTCCTATTCAGACTTTTATATCTCTCACTTATTTGGGGGATTCTGATGTTGTTAACCATGAAGTTACAAATGGCCTATCTAGAATATCTCCTTATCCCCTAATGTTAATTTATTATGCCACTTGTGTATAAATTTATCCATCCTCTGTTCAACAGTTGTGTGCTTTCTACACAGGCGTAATGGCTCATGTTTCACACATCCTATGCATGCATAGCTGCAACCCAAAGCATCTTTTTACACCTCAAGTCTGTGTTTTTTGCATCTGTGTGCATGAATGCTTGATTTAAACCTCCTGGGATGGTACCAACCAAATGACATAGTTTTTTCCATAATTGCTATGGTTTGCCCTAGTTATTCCAGGCTTGACAGCTATTCAAGAAAAGAATGGTCTGTGATTCAAATGTTGTAGCAGCAAGTAAAAACTTTCGATTCAACCTGCAGTCATGTAATATCCACTTAAACTGTAAACTCCATGGTGACAGATGCATTTCAGAAATATACAAGTTAAAAAATCATACAATGTGACAGGTTTATAGAAATAACACTGAGCCTTCAGTCTGCATTGTTTTTGCCCCCCCCTCCATCTTAGTGTCCTGCCCTATGTTCTTCTCCCTCTTCCTCTCTCCAGTCTCAGCCCTTTAACCTCCTTGTTATCTGTCCCTAAAACCTCCTCCTCCCCTTTTTCCATCCATCCTTCCTTGTGCTGTTTGTGATCTACAGTATGACAGGGATTAAGGTTGAGAAATGGCAGTGGTGCTCTCATGCTTTTACATAGCTGATGGCCTATTCATTTTCTCTTAGTGCTTCAGGCAACTGGATACATGCTGTCAACAGAGCTTTACACAGACAAACAAAAGGGATGGGTCGATCAAAGTGCTGAGCTAAGGCATGGTGCTAATCTACAGTATATGAGATACTATTAGATTGCACAAACCTGTTATTCTGTTGAGCTTTTGTGGTCTGACTTCATATGTTTTTTTTTTGTTTGTTTTTTTTAAAAGTGGTTTCAAGATAAATGGAAGGTTTTTTAAAATGGCCCGTTGCTCTGCGGTGGTTACGGACATGCAGGACATCTTAGATGTGATAAGTTCAACCTTAGTACAACCTTTTTAGGATGATAATGGACCATACCTCTTAGTGCAGGGGTGTGGGCAGCAGCTGCATGGCAGTAAAGATGTGGTGTAGTGAGCATATTTTGTTTGATGTTTATCATTAACCATTTCTGAGTCTTATTCAGTGCTTCAGTCAGTTTAAAAATAAAGTCTGAGCTATACTTTGGCCTGCTACAATTCACAAGTTTTTGCAATGGTGCTGTTGTGTGAATTTGAGTTTGGTGTAGGAGGATGGCACAGCAGCCCTTTATGCACATCGATCGTGGGATTTACCGATAGGCTAAACTAGCAACACAAGAGACACAGACTTTATAATATGGCAGATATCAAAGGTGCATTTATGGTTTTTAATTACGTAGGCACTGCAGTTTGTGTACAATACAGGAAAAATGTTTAGCAGCTCTACTTTGAATGACATCCTCATCAACATTTGGGACTTCTGGTCTTGATGACCTGTGAGCTTCCTGGTATAAGACAATATAAGAGGGGCAGCCACGCACATCCAGTATAGACAGTTGCTGGACCATAAAAATCAGCGTCAGAAAAGAAGAGGAACGTCCACACACTTGTAGCTCCCAGTTGAAGTGCAATATAAATTTATTTAGCACATCCCAAAAAAATGATTATTGAGGGGGATATTCTAAAGACAAATTTATATCGCAAAAGCACAGACAAAAACTCATTACTGCATGGTGACTCCTACCACCCCACCTCTTTGAAGAAAAACCTCCCTTTCTCACAATTTAATTGCATCAGACGAGTTTGCAGTGACGATATGGATTTTCAGGAACAATCGGTTATCTTACAGGACTAGTTCAGACAGAGAAGATACAAGGAGGAATGGATTACCAGTGCTGCAACAAGATTTCACAGGATCTCTCAAATGCCTTCACACAGAAAAAATCAAAAAATCTGAAACAAGAATATCATGCTGCATTCAATATTCACCTGTGGGGAGGAAAATTGAGAAAATCATAAAACAAAACTGACACATTCTCAACTCAGACCCTTCATTAAAGGAATGTTTCAACAATCTCCCTCAAATGATCTACAAAAGACCCCCAAACTGGAGCGGACCGACCCCCTCCTGTCGCCTCATACTTTCTCACCCAAATCAAGCCTGGGAACTACAGATGTGGAAACTGTCTGCAATGTAATTCCACTTACAAAACACACACTTTCAACCATCCTCATTCTGGAAAGAGATTCCACATTAAAAGCTTCATCTCCTGCAAAACAATGACCCTGTGGCCTTGCCTATATTGGTAAGACAACAAGACCTTTAAAAACTAGGATTACTCAACACAGATGTGCTATTAGAAACCATGACCCATTCAGTCCTGTTGCTGTCCATTTCACACAAGCCCACCACAGTGTCTCCTCATTGAAGTACATTGGTATAGAATCTATCAAAATCCCTCGCAGAGGGGGGGGGGGTTGACTCTCTGCTTCTGAGGAGAGAATTGTACTGGATTTACACATTAGACACCCTAGCACCAAAGGGTCTCAATGAGGACTTCAATGTAAAACCATTCCTTTGAAACCTGTGATATGGGCCATTGTGCAATGTTGATGTATGGTTAAAAATATTGATGTATGGTTAAAAATGTTTGTGTTGATTTACAAAAAAATGTTTGTGTCCTTCACACACACAAAAAAGAACCAAAATGTGTGAGTATTGCCATGTTCTAAATTAAATTATTCCAACTAACATTATTGCGGGTAACTATGGACTAAAACTAAAACAAAAAACTAAAGTAAAAAATCTTTGAAAAACATTTTAGTTTAATTTTGAAAAATATTGTGGTTGATTATTGTTGAACCAGCCATCCTACATAATAAATTTTAGTTCTATATAGAGGCGCCTCTACCTAGTCAATTGAAAGTAACAGCCAGCTGGCCTGATGGTGTTTTATTCTTTGGTCAAGTGTAGTATAATGTAGAGTTTTTTTCTATGTATGTATGTATATATTCACTATGACTTTTGGTGTCCTTCATCGTGTGAAAAAAAATGTTTTGACTCATGTATTGTGTTCAGACAGATAGTAGAGGAACTGATCAGATCATTTATTCTGGATCAAAAATATGTTTGATTTTTAAAAAATGTTTTCATGCAGATAGTGAGGTGGATTGGAACATGCAATTGTTGCAGCTGATTGCAATGTGATCTTGATTGTGTCATGTGATCTATGTTACTTAAGATGGCCTCTCACAACACCTGAGCTGTCTGATGAAGAGTGTACGTGGCTCGAAACGCGTCACTGGGATGTGCTAAATAAATTGGTATAACCCACAATCTGGACTTTAGAGGTGTGCATTTTTAGAATACTCAAGTTCTCCACTGGACTAGTACATACTGGCCAGCAGAAAATGTAGCCTTAATATGCATTAAAGCTACTCTGGGACCATTTTGAAGTCCAAGGAAAAGTACGGTGCCAACAAGTTTTCCCTCCTCCATCAACAGACGTCAATTCAGTTAAAAATCCTTGGGATTGCCTGACCTTGAACAGTCAGTGCCATAGCAGTGAGCAAAAAAAAAAGTCTGTGTTTTGAGAGCCTAAATAAGATACAGATACTCTTTTAATGATTTTCTTCCTCAGGTTACCGCAACCATGACAAAAAGAAGAGCCATAAGTACGACTCCTCCAAGTCCCGGATGAGGAAGAAGGCAGGGGGAAAGGATAAGGAGGGTGGAGGAAACACAAGGCGAGGAGGCAGCCGGGCATCCAGCCAGCGTCCGTCACGTTCCCACAGTGATGAGGAGGAGGACGAGGGTGTACCGGCCAGCTACCACACGGTGTCATTACAGGTTAGTCAGGATGTAAGTACAACAGCACTCTTTACCCTTCTACCTTATGTTGATTTAAGCCCAGCATCTCGTTACGCTCACATGATTCTTATTCGGCATATTTGAGAATGTTAGTCCATGCAGCACTAAAATTATTCATTTAAAGTCGCATTCCCTCTCCCCATCTTTTCCGGGCTAAGTGATTGTGGCATTTATTTGGGATAAAAAAGTTTTTTCTATTCTTTTCTATTCTATTCTATTCTTTTCTATTCTAGATGTTTATGGGAAATCATGGCTTTGACTTCAATATAGACATTTAGAGCAGGCATAACTTTGTATGATGACTAAAAAGAAAACCATAAAGTATTGTGAAGCAGTCCTTACAGCTGTGATGTGGAACAAAGAGGCTTTTACAGTCATGTCAGTATTTGAGCAGAACGTTACAGCTGCCCTAATAGTATCCCAACTCTCCTCTGTTTCTGGTGTGGTGTTGGCTTCGGTGGGAATGTAAGGATAAAGAGTGAATAAACCCCCAGACCACTTTCTGGTTGGAACCCAAAATATATATATAGGTATTCAGTGAGGTTGTTGATAAATTCACGTCCAAATCTCGACATTTGAGTGCAAAGTATTTGAATTCTACGTATTGTGACATAAATATGCATAGTGACTGCCCTCTATAGGTTGAAACCTGGCTAAGCTGATCTGGTGCCAAGTGACATGTTTGGAGGCAGCTTTTGCCACCAACTAACACCAAAAACAGCTGGGGCTGAGCCCCGCCCACAGTGACACACCACACACCACTAAGCTCAGTGCTATAGTCTGTTGCTGACATAAATGGTGCAGGGTGTTTCGCTGCCGGTCTATGGACAGAGACAGTCACTCTCACCACAACACTGTAAGTGCAACAAAAGCCCTTTGAGCAAACAGCTACTAGAGTAATATATCAATGTAGCGTAGTCCACGCAAAAGATGTACAGATAACTAAAACAAACACTATGAAATATAGTTAATTCACATAACTCAGACAAGGCTGTACTGTAGCAAGAAACAATAATAATAATAATACTTTTTATTTATAGGCGCCTTTCACAACACTCAAGGTCATCTTACAGACAAAGATAGTGAAAGTATCAGCAGATAAAAAGTCAAAGGTAAGGAATAAAGTGACTTAAAATAATAATAATAATAATAATAATAATAACAGCAAAACAAGTTCACAGTGAATAAAATTCTGTGTAAATGATGGATGTGTGTGGCTCTGTGGATGGGAGTCATACTGAATAGGCTATTTGAAAGAAGTGAGTTTTGAAGTTTATATATTAAATAATAATCTAAATTTTAAAATGAAAATCTCTCGGTTTTTTTTTTTGTTCTTAGCCTCCTCAAGCCTTACGACGCCCCAGAAGCTTTGGCAGCCCCTAGTGGGGGGTTGGGAACCAGTGTCACAAAGAATCCGTGTATCATTCGTTCATTCGTTTTTCAAAATAAAACCAATATGAAAAAACAAAATAATGACTTTTTTTTTTTTTTTTCAATATTTGTTTCCAGAACCAAAATGTAAAAAATGATAACTACTCGTTTTCCGATTTCCGATTTTCTGTTTAAATGGAAAATGGAAAAAACGGATAACGGGC